AGCCACTTAAATTCATTACATTCATACAACTAAAAAATATTAAGTACCGTATAAAAATGTTCTAAATAATTGCTGTGGTTATATCAAAATTTTCATACTAATAAATTTCCGTATTACGGATCTTGTCTTGAAAACTTTGGTTCTCAAGTGTTTCTGTAGTAGGCAAATATAAACTAAAACTATTTGTCTCCTGAAAATAGTGCCAGACATTTTTTATGTTTCCCGCGCAGACTGAATAAAATAAATTTATCTGTCTCTTCGTCTGTTTTTATTTGTAATTTCCAAAAATACTTGATGTATCTCAACCAAATTTAATATTTAATTTATTTTATAGTGATCAGTATTAATCCATATTTGACATGAGATACGTAATCCATTATCTTCTTCAACATTTCTATAAAACTCTTTACAATACAGTCATTAACGAAATGTAATAAAGAATTTTTATAATTGTAAAGTATTATTTGCGGTGTTTATTATATTATGTGTGTCTGCAATAAACGCATATCAGACCCACTGTATTATTAAAAACTCCAAATAATTAGTTTCATAAATAAATACACTCCAAAAATGACCACATCCTCCCACTTTTTTTAAAAACATTATCAGATTTCTACACGAAGAGGTTGCAGTAAATTTAGTGAACAAATTATTTTAAAATTACAGCTGAATTCTGCGTCTGCGTGTCGTATGCAAGGGCTAAGGTCATAGGTAAATGAGATAGATGCTGGAATTTGCTGGAGGTAAGAGTGGTTATTGCACAAAGAATCCCTGTAGCGTTTAATTTTACACTTCTTAGTCACAAAACTATGGCAAACGCGCGGATGGTGTAGCTTCCTGTTAATATCATCGGTTGCCTCGAGGATGGTAGTGGATTCAGATGTCTGAGGTCTTTAAACTTCGTATCCCCGTTAACATTCTCTTCCGTTTACTTGTTAGCGAGGAAATTAATCCGTCGTCAATGTTTAACGTTTAGAATTAAAACGAGAATTCCTTGTCGATTGGAAACGAGTATGGCAAAGTCTCCAAATTGTGAGTTTCTTTACGTATTAAATACTATATTAACCTGAGTTTAAGACAATTATAAACTGATTCCGAATTTATCACTGTCGCGAATATAAATCGAGACCGAAAAATACGATCTAGAATATAAATCGATTCCTTATATAATTGATTGAACTGGGCTAAGATATACCCGATGATATATCTGTGTTATTTCTGTGTGTCTGTCCGCTTCCCACGTCAATTAACTAACTCAGATTTTCGACACGTCCGTTAAAAAGCTGATAGATATTATGTTGCTCATTATATTTCGTGGATTTATATATCCCGAGACTCGTTACTGTATTACAAATTACTGCCACTGAAAATATCCTGATCCCCTTCAACACAATCTTCGCCTTCACACGTCATTTAACTGAGATTAATGTTAATATTATTCTGCCGTCTACGCTCCGGTTTCTCAATGATCTCTTCACTTGATATTTACCTATCAAATTTATTTATGTGTTACTTCCTTCAAGCGTGTGAAATTTTATGACTCCTTTAATACCAAATCCAATATTCAAAATATTTAATTTTTGCGTCTCTTAGTGGCATATAAATTTCTATAATACAGTTTAATAATAAACTATGATATTAGTAGCTTAAACATTGTATAAGACCATCTTTGTCCAGAAAGCATGGTTAGGGCTTATACTAAAAGCATCTTTGGCGAACATCCCGGCCGAACACGACATTGGAGAAGTTCAGAAAACTGCCATTCTAGGTACATCATGCATTATTCGAAAGACACTCATGTAAAATATACGCCTCACTCGAAATCTGTTTAATGCATGTAATACGTATTAAAAAAACAAAATGTATTTCAGAAATAACTACTGCACTATGTACCTCAGGGGCAAGGTTTGTCTAAGGTACATGGAAATAAATACCATAGGAGATTATTCGTGAATCACAAAATTCAATCTCACAGACAGAGGTTACAAAACAATGGTTGAATTAATTAATTGTTAAGCACTATTCAAGACAGGTATGAACACTGGCAGATCTCGTAGACGTTGCACTTAACAAGAAAAATTTTTCTGACCTATGCTTAAGACTCACAAGTAGAACAGATTTTACTCCACAGATGTGAGAAGTGATCCTTTTTTGAATACTGTGAAAATCGATTATACATCGATCTTCTGCCACATAATGTAAAGTGCTTTCCCCCCCACTACTTCCCACTTTAATGCCCTAGTTACATTATGAATCCCCCAAGCGACAAACTTCAGAGTTTCTGTCTGCCGAGTTATCATTGTCTGCATGTAGGCATATAAATGTCGGTGGATCTTTACACCACATGTTTCAGAATATCTGAAGCTACGAACTTAAGTCCCATTGGGTCGCAGTTTATAACAAAGCGTCTGTAATTCAGTTACATGTAACTACTAATAAAGCACTTTCAAATCTCTGGAGTGATCAGTTCAGTGTTGCCAACATCCTGTGAGAAGGCTCAAGCCACTCTGCTGAAACTATTAATATTATTTTTTTATGTAATGTTGCAGTTATAAAAAATGTTTTGAGAATCCGTAACAGATAGCCCAGTAGAATGGGCTGATTCGATTATCGTTTTGTTCGCTGGTCGATTTTTACAACGCTTATCTAACAATTAGGCCCATTTAAAAATTCAGACCATACCGCAAAGAAAACACAACGATTTAACATAACACATATCAACTGGTTGACGCTGTTTAAGGAAATTGTCACTGTTTATTCTGAAAATCATACGAAACAGAAAACACCGTGTGGTCACAGTGCGTATTTATAAGATATGGTACATTTTCAAATTTTTCGTTTAAAACCATCCTGCAATATAAACAAATAATTGTTAAATAATTGTAAAAATATATTTGAAGCCCGTGTCATAACTTATTTTTGAATTTAATTTTGTCACAGGTTTCCTCTCCGTATTTTAAATTAATATTCTGGGTTTTCGAAATATTAATGTTTGCGATACGTCACTTGTTTGATCTGAATATAATGAATTTCTTTATCCCTTCTCTTCTGTTTCATTTTCAGAAATTAGAACTAGCGGTTTCCAGTTTATATACGTTATGAGAAATGGGCTCCAGTGAATTTAATGAGTTTACAGACTCCATCATTTATCTAACAATCATTATCTACAAAATTCTTTGTCTCATTCTACCATTACGTCCTTGTAGATGTATTAGTTTTCATGGAATTTGTAAGTAATTAAAAATAACACGAGAAAAAAACATTCACGTGGATTTCACTGCAAGTGTTCCTTGGCTTGGTTCAGGGTTCAATTTTTTTGGTGGGGCTATCAGCAGATTTTTATGATTTTGTATGACTTTGGATTCTTACGGCGGTGAGACGTCTGTGTCAGTCTGAAACTGAACTCGACGTCAGGGTTGGGGGGTGAATGTCTCATTGATCCCTGGTCGGTCTTTGCAGCCCTCATGTGAGCCATCCGCGCATGCGTAAAGTCGACCGCACCCTCTCCGATATTATACAGAGCAGAAAATGTTTGATCCCAGTCCGTTTCAATTGAACTAGGGTCGTAATGTAAGATCAGAATTTATTTTAAGCAGTTTTAAATAAGATTAAGATAATTTGTCAGTTAATAGAATAACTGGAACGTCTATTAATATTAAATCACACACGTGGTAAACATTTTAGTGTTGTTTTAAAATAAGCGTTTTGAGTCTCTTTTAAATTAATTATAAATACAATAATTGAAATTTAGTTTTTTAAATTATGTCCACATTATTTGTACTTATAAAATTAAATCTCTGCTGTGCGTTTGTCTCTCGTCATCAGAACATAGAACAGTTTCTTAATATAAGAAAATTTGGTAATATTAAAATAGTTCTACTAAGGAACGACATAAATCGATTATAAAAAAATAAATTAAATAAAATATCTGGGACGATTTGACATCATTAGTAAAGAATTATTTTCACCTGTAATTTTTTAAAGCATAAAAATACGTAAAATCATTTTGCCAGAGGTGTGAGGTTTCCACTGTACTGAAGATACCGATTTGGTCTTCTGGGTTGTAAACTCGTTCTGGACTTGCGGGTGAATTCCACCAGCGTTTCGGAGGAGCGTACTGCCTCCATATTTATTTCCCTTCATGGAACCCAAGAGCTTCATTACCATATTTACAAAAACCCTTCACCGCCTTGCGGTAGGAATTAGATCATAGGAGAAATATCATCTTTTAAACGAAGAAGAAGTGGCTTTATACAGAGGAATTCATAGTTCCTTTTAGGTAATTTGAAAATATAAGCAACAAGGTGCTGATGTATTTAATTAGGAAGGGCTGCATGGGAATAATTTTGTACCAATTTGGAACGATTTTAACGAAGTTTATCTAAATAATATATAAGAATTCAGTTCCCACCTCCAAGAAAACACAACGCGCCTTTATTACAAGGATCATTTGGCTTATGCTGTTTAAAAAAATAATCGCTGTAGATGACTGTCTTCTGAGCTGTTGCGCCATGTAGTCCCGCAGACGTCTAATGATGTTTCGGTTGTTATTACTTCCTCCATCACCAGGGCGATATTCTCTTCGAATACTGGCAGATCTTTTAAACTTTTCTGTATTTCCAGGGGATTTCCGTGTCACAACAGCGTCCTTCGAAATTCTTTCATGTTTACCGATGGTAACTACATGAAACAGCTCCTTTAAAATTCTGTAATTCTACATTTTGTATGTATTGATTTCTTACGAGTCTCGTTGTTAACAGCGATTATTCCTTTAAGCACGATTAACCTGCTGATTTTTGTAGTGGTGAAGTGTTGTGTTTTCTTTGCGGTACGGACTAAATTCTTAAACGTTACTTAGACGATCTTCGGCTTCAGATGTTTAATGAATTTTATTAGGAATATGGAGCAAAGAATAGACTTGGAAAAGGAAAGAGATTTAAAATTGGTAAACATCTTTGCGACTTATTTTAATTCTCTAAGATTTCCACGTGGTGTTTCAGATCCGGGAGGACTGGAAGTATGTTGCCATGGTGATAGACAGGCTACAGCTGTACATCTTCTTCCTGGTGACGACTGCTGGAACTATCGGGATACTGATGGACGCGCCTCACATATTCGAATATGTTGATCAGGACCGAATAATCGAGATATATCGTGGGAAATGAGGACCCGTTGAAATGGGTTATTATTGGATTCAGTTATTTGTTAAAATATAAACTTACTCCAGAAAAGTGGTGTGTTGAAGATATTCTATCAAATGCTATTACACGGCTAAATGAAAATTTAGCTTCCTACGAGCACTACCAATAGTGATATTCAATTGTTATAATAGTGAAACCACAGTTTGAAACGAAACAAAGAAAATGTAACAATCATGTCACTGGCTGTTTCATTGTTAGCGTGATGAATCTGAATCAACGATAAGAGACGATACAGACTAATTATTTTCATTTGTTAATCAATGGCAGTATAGAAATGTTATGTGACTAGACGGATAGGCCTAACGATTGCTTCGGTCCTAGTTGCATTACAGAACGAGATTTTTTTAACATCCATATATAATTAACTAGAGAATAATAAGTGCTATGTAACATATAATGGAAAACTAAGGACTAAAGAGTTTCTTTTGAATTAGCCAGGAAGAACTTGTGCTCAAAAGTAAAAAAAAAATATACAAATTTAATCTCAAATTCTATATGGAAATATGTTATCATAGAAGAAGGAAATCTACAGAATGCAAATTACCTTCTCTGTATTGTTATAAAACAAATAATGTATAATAACAAATTGACTTCTTTTCATAGGTTCTAGAACTGTCAATGAATGTTCAAGTGGACAGGGATAATCATTACAATTTTTTTTATTTGTGGGTGAATCACCACTAGAACGGACTTTATTGTAGGTAGTTGAACACCCCCCCACCCACCCACCCAAAAGAAAAGAATTCATGTAACACGTCCAAAGCTAGACGGAATTTAAGGAAATACTTTTTGAACACGCAGACACACCTGATTCGTGCTCAGTTCAGTATTAATATAAAAAGGGAAGGGCATCAAGAATTATCTGATGTACTGCAATTTTTTGTAGTATATACACAATGTGTATGTATAAGAATTTCAAAAGACGGTGTTTCTTATATGATTTTTCCCCTGGAAAATTGCGTTTAGACAGTTTAATCTTTTCACGTTGTGTTATACGGTGATTTTATTAAGAATTAAAAATTTAATCGCATGGATATCGTACTTTGAAGGAAGACATTACTTTTTTTATGTACGTTACCTGTCTTTCGAAATGACTTGAACACAGAAAGAATTTACAACAAATAGCTCACACACATTTTATATTCATTATAATACTTCAGTTTTACTCGAAACACAGTATAATTAAGAAAAAATAATTTTAAATATTTCCATTCGATTCAGTCCAAACAATCGATTTTAATTCTTCATACATATTGTACCTAGCTTTATCTAAATACTTCGTAATAGATCACGATAATAGATTATGTCAATTTAATAAATGAGTTAGTGATAGCAATTTCGTCAGTGAGTGATACATTTAAAATGCCAATAATTTAAAACCTGTGTGTCTAATTGTTGATTGTTTTGGCGCGAGAATATCATTATGGCGAATACGCAAGTTTCTAGCAATAAAGGTCACTGTGAACATTATGAAGACACTGGGGATTACAAGTGAAATGTTTCTGACCTTTTTCAATTACATATAATATATCTTTTCGCGATACTCTTGCGAGTAACCACATATTCAGGCCTAATCATACAGAATAATAATAAATGGAAATAATTATGCAGTATTATGTAGGCAGAATAAAAGTACATTCATGTGCTTCAAAATATTATACCTTCATCAAAAGGCCTCAGACACGCATAGTTCAATAGTTTCCAAAGTGTAATTTGCAGACTTATTGGGTGTACAAAAAATATTTCAAACGGTTATCAGAATAAATTACTAATTCGCAATATGTGTGCCTCCTCTATGTTGAATTTCCTGATTTATAATAATGATGGATCTTTTATCACTGCCTGAATAATTTTTAATTACGAATGTTACATAAAACTGCAAAATTAATTTCCATGTGAAAGCTAATAACTCTTTTACGTACATTTCTTGCCAAATTTTCAGACATTGTATTTTATGGGATGACTTAAGGAAATTATTATATTGTTCAACGGAAACATTCGGCAGTGGCATAGTACACCCTCGTTGCAGTGTGTATGTATGAATGTCCAGCACTGACAGAACATTTTAGAAAATAGGAATAAACTAATGTTTTGCACTTGTGAAGTGATAACGTAATGCTCAATAATGAAACATTTAACCACATAATACTTCAATAATATTATATATATATGGGATTGGTCCAATTTGCTTGGAAAGTAAAGTGGATATATATAGTAATGTCACAATTCTCCCCTATAACCCTTCCTCGTCTTAGTATGTTGAGTGTTGAGAGGACAGAGGACTTAGGTCATGTTCGTGTGTTGTCGTCATGTCATTATCGTTGTTGTTGTCTTGTCGTCATACCTCCGAGATCAGCACCAAACCAGACATTGTAATTTAGGCAGAACATTCCCCTGATCGTGGCTACCTCCCACTATTTCAAAGAAAGAGAAGTAACAATAATAATCATAATAATAATTTTGCTCTTTTGGTTTATAAATGGTAAATATAAAGATATTTCGTATTATTTAACTCAATTATAAGTGGTTAGACGCATTTCTAGTTAGTTTGGTGACAATATTAGAATGTGTATATATATATATATAAAATAAAATCACTGAATAGAAAAAAGATTTACGTCACCTGAATTAAAAAGATCTGACACTGGTTAATTATTACTATATAGTATAGGCATTCAATGAAACTTTAGGTGTGCAATATTGTGTGGCGAAACATAGACTGTCACGTTACTTATTGTAAAAATATAAAAATAACTAAAAGTTGCAGCATATAAATTGCCAAACTATACACGTTATTATATGCTTTAAGATGCTAACATAACTTAGATTTTAAGTTCTAAATCCAATCGTCATATCTGGATGACCACAGGTCGGTCGTCAGCATGGTATATACACTGAATTCATCACACAACCCAAATATTATACGTTTTTGGCAGAAAATACTTACTGATGCATTAGGTTTATTAATCATTTAAAATAATGTAATATCCAAAAATGGTATTATTTTAAACACACATCATAACGGAGAATGTGGGACGTAATAAACTATTTTCTTAGTGTTTTTTTTTATTTTGTTACTGCCTGAAATCCCCATAAAAAGTTTTAAACAAGTTCTATTACTTTAGAAATATTAACGTTATAAACGTGGTTTGACAAGAGGAAAATAAAAAGGAAAACAATCTTATTGAATAAGTTCTTATAAACTTGAACATACCGTATTCCTAAACAAGTGTTCTTCTGCACTAACCTGACACACTTTGGATAAACTTAAAATCATGTGATATCGGTGGTTACGTTTTTCAGTTTTTAAAAGTGAATATGATCCTCATTATATAAATAATCATATTTTCTCCTATTTTCCTTTTCCAATTTCTCTTACGTTTTAATCATTTCCTGTCCTTCCCATGATGTTAACCACGTGATACTTTAGTCAGACAGATTCCCTTACGTAATTTTAGCTCAGAGTAAAATAACAAACACTGAAGTGACATGAGATTTCAAAGAAGTTATTATAAGACAAAATTCTGCAAGTAAACCACTAAAACTCCTAGAATTAAATAACAAATATTCCTAGTGTGCATGTAATTTCGTTCTAAATATAATCATTTACATTTGTCTGCGGCTAGCTAACCCACACAGCATACGAGCTTTCTGCTGGAATTGAACGTGATACAAGTACTGCCTGTTATTTAGGCAACACTCCAAGAAGTTTTAACGTAATTTATTTTTCAACATATAAATTTTATGTTTTTATTTCATTGTGCTGTTGTAGTCTGTCATATTTCCACAACTTTAATACAAGTCTTTCAAAACAATGACCGGTCAGTCGATAATGCCATCGTAAAATTATTTTTTAAATATTACAGAAATACTTCTTACAAAAGCTATTCCAACTCATGACAGGATGACAAAATTCACTTAATATTAGCAATTATAGTAATGAATACATTTACGTATCATCTTTTCTCGCGTTATTTACATGCCTTTAATCAAACGTCTTTACAAATTTCTTCCTTAAATAAGGTAATCTAATTCCTAATTTTTACATTAAATTTATCATTTATATAAATATTCTTCACGAAGAAAGAATTTTTGTCTCGAGTACAGTCATAAAAATAAATTCTGATTAATGTGTATGTACAGATTTATTATCTGCTGAATGCACAAATTAATCATACCAGGTAATGGAAAAAGTGATACATAATTACATCAATGTTACCTAACAAAACATGAAATTTTGTTTTAGCTATGTTTCAATTTGAATGAATGTATGAATGAATTTTGTATACAAGGACATTTACTACTCTCCAGTGTTTTCATACTTAAAGAAAATGAAGTATTATCCCTCGAACTACTAGTACGAAGTTTAAAATGGTAAGAAGACTTTTACAATACATAAAAATATTTAATATTATTGGAAGTGTTAATAACCTCCTTGGCTGTTATGACTCCCTGTCTGTAGATAGCGTCTCTCTTTGAACTGCACGAGACTACATCAGGAGCACAAGACCCTCATCTTATGGAGACCAACATTTAGCCCGGCAAAATGCAACGGGTAAGGGATCTACTGCGCAGACATGAGGTTTGAGGTTTTTTGCAGCCATGTCATCTGTCAGTTGGTTACTAACGTTTCGGAGTAATTTGTCACCTCCATCTTCAATGTATGAGGCCTAAAGATGTAGGGGATAGGTTCTTCCAAAACGTCGTTTACCACCTACAAGTCTACACGATATTATAATTTGCGAGACTACAATCCAAATTCTGTACGGGTTCCTCAGATAAACATATATTTCCTTTCCATAATGCATTCATTGATAAATTTAAAAGCAAATATTTCTTCCTGGGCCCGAGAGAGAGCCGCAGAACTCACTACAAAGTGCTATTAGATTTTCCCGATAACAGTCATAAAAACAAGAAAATCAACAGTTCCCGCCACGAGCTCGGAAGTGAGAACTGCATTCAACTCTATCCATAAACACACTGTATTAATGATACAAGAAAATCTGAAGCATTAAAAGCATATAGAACATAGTTTTATAATAATATTTTATATTTTGAAATAGCTATACACGTAAAATATCTTGTAGTTTGTGCAAGTATTCATTTTTAAAATTGTCATTGATCTGTTTAACATTCATTGACCTTGCATCACGGCTTTCATGCAGTCCATATGGTTACGCATAACATTACCATAGTGCCGAATCATTAACGCTGGAGTTAAAAGTGGTGGTGGTTGCCTCATATTACAGGGATTTACATCTATTCTGAATCATGAGTGAGCCATGAGGCATGGATAATAAACGTTAATTGTAACTGAAAACTGAAAAGCATTTGCATTTTGCATAAAAATGACTTCAATGAAGGTTATGTGTTGCGGTTTACCACACATACACATTTGAAGTTCTTACTATAGCATACGAAACACTTTTATTTATTTATTATACTAAAATTATTACATTTATAATACCATATTATGTCCCTGGTAAGAGGAACTGAAGTCAATAGGAATTATATTTTAGTTAAAAACTTAATACCAGGCACCAAAGAATTGTCATGTATCACATATACTTTTCTCTAATCAAAATGTTGATTTATAAATGAAATTTAAGTATCTGTGTAGACTAACACATTTTAATGTTTATCTTCTTTCATGCTCCTAATTTTCATAACGAAAACAATTGTCAACAAATGCTTTAAACACATACAAAGTTGCATTGTGAGCAACAACGCACAGAAACTTGAATCAAACGATAAGTTTTGAATATCCCAAAAATTATTATTAAAAGTTATCTTCTTCCAGGATGACAGGGGGTGAACTTTCAGCATGTCTGGCTCCAAATGAGGAACTGTGGCACAGGCCTGCCAGATATGAATCCTGGCATATAAGCAGCTGGTCCAGGGTTTTGCAGTTGACCTACATCTCCACTGTGCCTCATCCTTATATATATTCATTTCAGTATGATTGTATTTGGCTGGTCCAAGAGAACCAGATATTTTGTGGTCAGCCCTGAACACAACTCATAACTTCACCTTTACATTATTCCTAGCTGGAAGACAGAACTTTTTCATTATTAAATCCAGGACAACTCTAGGATCTGTTTAACAAGACTGTTTACCTCAAAGTACATGAGGCCAGAATATAAAGCTGAACACTTAACTTTTGCCTAATACTGAGATTAAGAATAGGTGGAACATTACCTCTACATACTACATTCATATTGTTAACATGACTTTTACTGCTCCTTGTTTAATAACATTATCTTCCAATGTCCCTCCTCACCATCTCTCCCTCATTTGTTATTCTACAAAAATGAGCTCTGTTGTAAAGTTTCTCTAACATAATTGATTATTAATGAATCAAAGTCATTAATATGTTCACAAATCCCCACCAATCACGTCTATGCTGAACTAGCTCAGTCCTGTTGCTTTCATAATCCACTTTCCTTATGATCCTTTCTATTAGCTTCCAATCTGCCTGTAACACTTCCAAGTGTTGCCCTCTGAAATACATATTTTTGTATTTTTGCTTCCCTTATGCAGTCTACATTTAATGTCCATGTAATCTTTCTTGATTTAATCACTCCAGCCAGGTTCATCTGTATGGTGTCTGGGGCCTTGGGTAAATCAGCGTGTGACGCCATCAATATTTTACAGAAATCTCAAACTTTTTAACCATGTCTGGTATTTTGTGAGATCTGAATTATCCTTTACAAGGTAAATTAATAAACTTAAAATAAATAAAACGTTCTTTATTTTAACTACCCTCATTCCCCAGTTTTTTGATATTGTTCTCACTTTAGCATGAACGATTAACACCTTATGGACCCTCCCATTGATCGCATTCGTATAAATTACAGCAGTAATTCAGTCACGCCAACATGGTATGAAAGTCACTGCGATAATTCAGTTGGTTTTGTTTTTTAATTTACTGGCTTTTCGTCAAATGACCGATTAGTTTTTGCCTGCATAACTAAGCTTGTTTTGTATAAAATAATAATATTTACGCAAGTACAAAACATTTTTTTATATGCGGTCTAAAAAATTAATTGATTGTTAAGAATACGGCCTGAGGCACAGGCGTGGGAAGAGGAGTCAGTTAAGAACAGGACAGTTTCTTATATTTTACTTAAAGGTGTTGGTGTGGTACTTGGTCTATGTCGTGGGAGCTCATAATTTCCGTTTTACCAATATTATTAAGGTGATTAAATCAAGGAGGATGAAGAATGCATACAAAAGGAAGAAGCCACACGTGAAAAAACAGTTGGCGATACACTGGATTTATCTGGGTTACTTCTGGGGACTTTCCTTGTAGTTGGCGACACTGATCACGTATACACTTCCGACGTTCAAAACATTTCTCGTAGGTTGTAAAGCGAGGTTATGTCAGAAGTTCTTCTGTGAACGTTATTATAGCTTAGTTGTAGTTCATTAAGTACTAAAATATTACACAATGGTACGAGTTGTAAGTCAAGAAACTTTTGACGAAGTTGTCAAGGAGAATATGGAAGAATTTGACATGAGTCCAGAAGAGGCAGTTCAAGACGCAGTGCAACAGTTTGAGGCTCAGGTATGACCAAATGTATGATTGACGTAGGAGATATTTTGTGAACAAGTTTTCTTGGAAAGAGGAAATTAGGAAGAGCGAGAAGGCGTCGAGGACTAATGTAAGTGTATAAATTTAAGGATTTGAGGTGAATGGAACTGGCTCTAGGTTGTATCAGTGCTACCATTACTTTCAACTACATCAAATATGTTAAATGCGTTGTTTGATGGCATGTGATATACGGTGTGCTTTATCATTTCAGGGTGTTGACTTGAGTAACATAGTTAAGGAAGCTGCAATGAGTGATATTCCTGATGCCTCCAGAAGCAAATTGACTTCATCACTTGATAATATAGCTAAACTGATGAAGGAACCTGCTGAGAAAGAGAAGATTATTATTGAAGAGCTACGAACTGTAAAAGATGAATGCGACAAGAGTATTGCAAACAAGGTTTTTGCCGGATCGCTTGGAGCTTATAGCATGTTGATTGATGTATTGGAAAGCTTTAATTCAGTTAATGAGGTTGCAAGCGAAGCGCTCAGTACAGTCACAGCACTGATGTCAGGGAACCCAGATCTTTTGGACAAGCGAGGCCGTGAAATTATCATTAATTACTTGGATAACCAGAAGAATGTAGATATACAAAAGAAAGTTTTAGAATGGGCTAAAGTGTGTTGCATCAAACATGAACAAAATCGACAAGACTTATTTGGAATGAAGATTCTTATAAGATTGAAAACTTTATTGCACAGTGATACTGCACCAGTAATAGTGAGGCAAGTTTGCGGTGTTGCCAGAGCCCTTGTGTTGGATGATGACATTCGAGTACAGTTTGGAAAATCTCACGATCATGCTAGAGATATAGCTCTAGAAATTCTTTGTACACTGACAGATTTATTAAAAAGTAAGTTTGTATCTTCATCTTTAACATCATCTTCCACTGACAATTTGCAGTGGGGTGTTGTGTCATCTCTGTATTTCTGTAAGCACTCATTTGTGTCTGTATGCACTCTTCTATTAATCTGATTTATCTTCCTTGACTTGTTCTGTACATCTCGTACTCGGATCTGAGATATTTTCATTTTCCTATTGTTTATGCTCTCAGAGGACTTCTCTTGTTCATATATGTTGCATGTTCATAGCTATGTGAGCTCAATTTCACTGGGGTTTTTTTTGTAATGTTTCAATTTTTATATCTTACTTTATGTTCTGGTTTTTGATCTTTTCCCTTATTTAAATTGTCACAGTGGTAAGTATAAGAATGGCTCTTTTCTGGGATGTAGCAATGTTAGTCTGGTAGATATGTGGCAGCAATAAGCTTTCGATCAGTTTTTATGAAACTGCACGGTGCATCATTCCAGACGATAGTCATCTTCCTTAGAAACATAGTTTTTTTTTCTTTCTTTCAGAATTTAAAGGTGACAAGGAGACAGTTAGTGATGTAATTCTCACCTTGACAGCATTGATCGTGAGAAACGAATTCTGCCAGATGGTTGATGAAGCTGGAGGCATAATATTCATTATGGACGTTTTTGTCAACTGTCCTGACAGTGAGGTAAAAAGAAGTTATTTCATGTGTAATTCAAATGTAGGGACAGTAAATTGATTGGGCATAGTGCAATAAAGTAAAATGGATGTGGGTATTTCTTGCACGAGCAACATTTGATTTACAGCAGGGACAGGATATTCTTTGTTTACCACCTCTTCCAAACTGGCTCTGGTATATTAGGTGTGAAGCTTCTGGAACATCAGTTTGACCGACTCTTGTTTTATGCCGGGGTCTACAGTGTATGGAATATTACCTCCATGCCCCCTGTCTGCTTTCATGACATGGTATTTGCTACACATATTAATTCCAGTCATGGGTAAATCGTATTTGTAATACTTTAATGCATGGAGAAACTTTAGAATGGATAAACCAGTTTGCAAAAGAAAATTGTTAGATTAATGGCTGGTGTAAAACCTAGAAATTCATGTAGAAGTCTATTTAAGAGATTAGAGATCTTAGATCTACCTTGTGAATACATATTCTCGTTAATGAACTTTATTGTAAATAACCAAGAACATTTTCAAACTAATTTCGCTGTACACAAGGAATAAAAATCAGCTTCATAGACCAGTTGCCAACCTCTCATGTTTTCAGAAGAGTGCATATCAAAATTTTCAGCAGTCTACTATCAAGTCTCACAAATCTTATGAATAAAAAGGCACAATTTAATATAGCTTTAAAAAGATACTTAATTACACGCTCCTTTTGCTCTGTCGACATATTTCTATTGTTTACAAATAAGTGATAATTTATCTTCGATATATAATGGGTAGATTTATTTGTAACTTATCATTACTTTAGGCAAACCCTTTGTTTGTATTATGTCAAATTTATATAATAGTATGAATTGTACTTTGTAACATGTATTATATTATTATTATGACTTTTTCCACATCGTATTGTCATCTGACTGTCTTATGGATCCATCGAATGTATGAATAAAATTTGATATTAGAGAATTTTATAAAAAAAATATAAGCCATTTCATTTTTCATTTAGATAAGATAATTTTAACAGGCACTTTTCATAAGAGAATATATATTACCTGAGCTTACTTCAGCATGAATGCATAAGACATTCACCTTGGTTACAGTGGTTATCTTGGTTTCTGTTTATGTGCAGAAGGGAAATCCATTCACAGGGGTCAAATTCTGGCAGAAGTGCAGGAATTGTTATGCACATACTGTTTTTAATTTGTTTATTGTCATCGCCCTGATGACGGAGGCAGTATGACCTCTGAAACGTTGGTAAACATTGACAAGACTACATGGCGCAACAACCCAGAAGACAGAAATCTTCATACTCACCGCTGTGAAAACCTCAAATCTTACATTATTTACTGTCATTATTTCAGAAGCTCAACAGGCTGTGCTTAAATCTGGTGAAGGGGCTTGCCGGTAATGATGATGTAAAGGCGCGAATAGTGAAGCAAGGTATTGCACCTCTAATTATATCAGCAATGCATCGGCATGAGGTATGTTATAAATACCCACGCTCCTACCCCTATTTTATTTTGACTTATACATGTTTTAAAATTATAAATTATGGGAAAATTGTCTATGTATTTATGCATTATCAGAATACAAAATATGTGTTGACATTTCAAGGTAGAAGTAAATGAGATCTACTCTATGGGGGCCTATTGTTATTAAGCCTGGTTTAGTGTGTGTCTAAAGACCAACTTCAGAATTTCAAGGTCATATATATGTTTTATTCCGACAATGGATAACGTCGATAGAAAATTGTCACATAATGATATTAGACATTCAGAAAACCTTTAGAATGTATTATTAACCATTTCCAGATCTAGAACTACAGTTGGCCTTTCTTATAGACTTGCAGGCTGTAATGTTATAAATATTGACAGTTTTTTTAAACACCATGGCCATTTATTACAAGAAGCTATCAAATTAGCCCAACTGTTGCAAATAGGTCCACAATTTACTCAATAATCTGCTCAAAATGTCCCACTAATGACTGATTTTTTTAAAGAAAATGACTTGTGTAGACTCAATATGTGAATCTACATTTCAAATGCACTGTTTTGACGTTTCAACAAACTGTCATGTATGACCTTCTGAGCTATGAAAAGACAAATATGCCTCTTGTATGCTCGGAGAAGTTTTGAGAATCCCTCATTTAAGGTATTACCATGTTTTGTTCTACGTTATGTGTTTCCTTTTGTCTTAATATCTTTTCACATATCCAGTGATAGAAGCAAACGAGTCGTATAATATTACATCTATCACAGCGCTTTTGATTTTGACGACATGTTTCGATGTTTACCACATCATCTTCAGGCTTATCAATTCATACATTTTTAAAAACTATTGTACATTTTTGTGCATTGCATTTATTGATTTTTAATTTTCAGTCTTCATCTTGATTTGGAGTATGCATTTTGATGTTCATTATCAGGTTGTATTGTGATGTATTGGACGTCTGATATCGAGAGACGATAAACTGCAACAGAGTTCAATGTACAATAGTTTTTAAAAATGTATGAATTGATAAGCCTGAAGATGATGTGGTAAACATCGAAACATGTCGTCAAAATCAAAAGCGCTGTGATAGATGTAATATTATACGACACAGAAAAGCGCCATAAAATATAACATAATGCAATTTATATTGTAAATGTTATAAAATTTTAAACAACATTATTTTAAAACAAGTTTTGTGTATAGACTGGAAAAATAAATATATGTATTGATATAACACAAACATGACGCAATTAAGATATAAATTTTATATCTGTTCCTATATGTGTCTCTCATTTTGTGAAGTTGATCCATTTTCTTTCTGATACCTGATTCTATAACATCCTTTGTTCTGATTGTAGTCATCTGCTAGACTTGTGGGTGCAGGCTGTGCCGCAATAGCTGCCCTAAGTTTGCGAAATCCAGTTAACAGCAAAGCTCTGTGTGCTGCCGGTGCCCCAGACGTTATTTTGCAAGGCATGAAGATTCATGCAGAAGATTCTTCTGTGCAGGTTTGTTACCAGTTGTGTCCCTTTGTCAAAGTTCTGCTAATCTCACCCCCCATTATCATTAATAATTTCATGAAATTCATGCTATTTTATTGCTTTGTTAATCTATAATCTGATGGTATTAATTAGGCCCAGCAGCATTTTCATTAAATCTGTCTCAAGCTGTACCTAAACCCCCATACATCACAATGGTGTCTTATGTAGTTACAGGGACCACTTTTACATTACATTCTAACACTAACACAGTGAATATATACGAGGGGAAGTCAAAAACTTCCCGGAATTGTGGTATAGCACTGTAATGGTAGGACATATGGCAACACATACATAATCACCTTCAAAGTAGGACCCTTGCGCGCGCACACACTTGCTCCATCGATCCTGCCATTGTTGGCGGAAGGCTTCGTTTGGAATCTTCCGGAGTTCGGCCGTCGCATTCGATTTGATGTCCTCCATGGTTGCGAAACGTGTCCCCTTGAGACCCACTTTCAGAGTAGGGAACAGCCAGAAGTCACTCGGAGCGAGATCCGGAGAGTATGGTGGTTTGGTGATGATGGGAATGCTTTTCTCAGCAAGGAATTGCTGCACAACTAGCGATGTGTGGCTCGGTGCATTATCGTGATGCAGAAACCACCCACCCTGCCACTTGTCGTGCCGATTCCTCCGAACTGCTTCGCGCAACCTCTGCAACACTTGCACTTAGAAATGACCCATAACAGTCTGTCCAGGCGGTACGAATTCATGGTGCACCACACCATCGATGTCAAAGAATGCCATGAGCATCACTTTTTCCTTGGAGGCATGATTTCTTTGGTTGGGGAGACGACGCTGTGTGCCACTCGGATGACTGCATCTTCATCTCCGGGTCGTAAGCGAAAACCCATGACTGATCACCAGTGACAATCTTTGTGAGAAACGTCGGGTCCTGCGTACTTTTCTAAAATGGGAATTCCGGGAACTTTTTGATGCCCTACGTATATGAAGAAACGGTGAGTAATGTAACACCTTACTCTTATGTATGTAGAACAATTGCACTACTGTTAAGGCACCAAAATTATTTTTTGTTGCTTCTACGCTGGCATGTCTGTCTCATGGCAACATGCTACCACTGAACATTGTGGTTAAATGGTCAGTATTTATATTTTATATTCAGGTGCTCCTAGGTTTATATATTAGCCCAGACACTAGTTATCCAGACTGAAGTTTTTCTTGAATGTCATCAGTCCTCCCAGGGAAATGCTGAGATAGTACTTTAAAATTTGCCACAACCACTTCATTCCATATCCTTTAAAATTAATCATTCAGTAATTTTACCACTTGATGCTCTTTAACCCATTTTACCTGCTCAGTTGGAAAATACTGAGTTAGTTAGTTTATTCCTTTTATTCTTCTTGGGAACATAGGGCTGATATAAAGCTCCTCCACCTCACTCAGTTGTTGGCGAGTGCCTTTATTTCCTTCCAACTTTTCCCCTGTGATCTTGCTTTCTTTTCAATAGATCTCCGCCACGTAATCCTCGGTCTTCCTCTTTTTGGTACCCCTTGGGGGTTCCAGTCCAACACTTGATTTGAAACACTCTCATCCTCTTCCATTTCCTTTCCTTGATCTGTTGTATTTTCGTTTGATGGGTAATTCTCCACAAGTTTTCATTTGAAATATTTTCTGGCCATCTAATTTTTAGAAGAAACCTTAGACATCTGTTGTAATTTTTGCATTAGTTCTTTAGTGACTTTCCAGGTCTAACAGCCACGTAATAGGACAGATTTTACGTTTGTATTAAAAATTCTCAATTTAGTATTTAGAGAGAATGAGTTTGATTTCGAAACAGATTTTGACTGGGCAAAAGCTCCTTTTGCCTTTTTAATTCTGTTTATAATGTCTTCGTCTGTTCCATGTGTATTGGACACAGTGATGCCAAGATAGCAAAACTGTTCAACTTTTTCTATCGTATGGTCTTCTATGGCTAACCCATTCACTTTTTTATTATTTAATCTCAATTGTTTAGTTTTCTCCCTGTTGATTTTTAGCCATATCTTTTTCCTGTTTCATTCAGATCAGAGATGTTTGTTTGCGTTTCTTCATAGTGTTGCGCTAATAAACATATATCATCCGCAAAATCCAAGTCTTGTAATCTTTCTGTAAAAGTCCACTGTCTTTTGGCATGTGAAGTTACGTTCCTCATCACTTTGTCTGTCACTAATGTGAACAACATGGGGGATAGAATACGTCCCTGTTTGACAACTGCGTTAACAGAGAAAGATCCTGAAAGTTTTCCACTATTTTCTACTTAATAGGTATTATCCTTATACATTTCCTTCAGTATTTTAATAATTTTTTCTGGTATTCCATAACATTTCATTGTGCTCCATATTTTATCCCTTTTGACTCTATCAAAGGCTTTCTAAAAATCAATGAAAGTTTTAATGGTGACTAGAAATTCATTTTTTACTTCTTTATTCTTAAGTTTATTAATATGTCTACGCAAAAATCTTGATTTTACCGCTGCAACTCTCAGCCTAATATCTGCTACCATCAGGTAGCGATCACTTCCCACATCTGTGCCTCTCTTATTCCTAACTTCGAGGACAGAGCTCCTCCAAGTTATATTTATTGCTAAGTGATCAATTTGATTTTTCACTTTCTTGTCTGGTGACAACCAAGATATTTTATGATATCTCTTATGCAGAAAAAAGGGATCCACCTATTACAAGGTTGTAGTTACTACAAAGTTCTGCAAAACGTTCTCCATTATTATTCATGATTCCTTCCCCAAAACATGTTCCATTCCTTTATTAGCTGATCCATTCTGTGCATTTAAGTCTCCCATTAATATAATTACATCTTTTCTTTTTGTTCTCTCTAGTGTTTCATTTAATCTTTGATAGAAGGCATCTTTATCTTCTTCATCTGCTACCTCTGTAGGTGCGTAACATTGTATGACTGTTAAATTTCTTACTTTTGTTTTAAATCTTCCTATCATTAGCCATTTTGATATTGGGAGCCATTCAATCAAAGCTTGTTTCATCCCTTTGCTCAAAATTAATCCAACACCTCCCCTGTGTTGATCATCATCTCTTCCTGAATACAAAATTGAACCACCTTCACTGAAGACCCAGTAAATTGCACGCTGTCTTGCTTGGATGTTCTGTTGAACACGGGGTCGCAAATGTTTCATTTTTGAAATAATAGCCAAAAATAAGTTTCAATGAATTGACTTTATATCAAAGTGAATCCAGCATCCAGCAAAGATTTTTAGTTAAAGTTCGTGCAGGAATTGTTGACGACATGCTTATTGGTCCACACATGCTTCCATCGTGTCTAAGAAGACCTTCATATTGGCGATTCTTAAGAAGACACTTGCCACGTCTCTTGAAGATTTACCACTGAATACAAGAAGACAAATGTGGTTTATGCACGACGGAGCCCCAGCACACTTCTCCCATCGCGTCAGAGATCATCTCAATGAACAGTATCCTCAGTGATGGATTGGGTGTGGTGGCCCAGTAGCATGGCCACCGAGGTGACCGGACCTGACTAAATTGGACTTTTATCTGTGGGGTCACTTGAAGTCCATTGCTTATGCAACATCCATAAACAATGAATATGACCTATAGGAATGTGTGCAGAATGAATGCCAGGTGATTTGAGGAAACCCTGGTGTGTACGAACGAATCAGTCAGTCTTGTGTACGTCGTGCTCGTGCACATGTGGAGAATGGAGGAACAACCTTTGAGCATCTGTTATAAAGAAACATCCCCGTCCTTATACTTGGCAATAAATGCATATATTGAAACTTATTTTTGGCTATTATTTCAAAAATGAAACATTTGCGATGCCATGTTCATAGGGACATTTTTTATTATTTTTGTTCCTGGAACACACACAATGTTTGTAAACATACTTCTGACTCACCTGTATGTTCACTCAAACATTTGATAAGTTTCAACATTCAGTGTAGCTCATCCCTAAAATCTGAAGTTGTACACTTTACTTTCTTGTCATTTCATAATTTTTATGTCCACTTAAGCTTCATATCAAGTTGAATTACGGATAAATGTTTAATGCTTATCAGTTATATATTAGAATGTGTTTCATTGATACAGAAACAAGGCAGCTGGGCAGTTCGAAATCTGGTGTCACATGATAAAACTTTGTGCCAATCTTTTATGAAGCTGGGAGCTGAGGATATTCTAAGAACTGCCGTTAAAGTGCACAGTTTGAATTGTGATTTTGATGCGAAAGCAGCACTCAGAGACTTGGGTTGTGACATTGAATAAGTATATTGAGTACAACATCCGTAACTGAGTAAAAGGTATCTTGTTTTCATTTTGTTGCCGTGGCTATGGAAGAGTTTTACTAAGATTTAACAAGAATGTACACGTATGTTATTGCAGTATGAACCTCTCTTTAACTTTATAAATAATATTCTTTTTTGAGATTTTGTACTGTTATAAGTAATGTTTATATATGACATTTTAAATTATTTTGTATCATTATAAAACAAATTTAACTTATTGTTTCGATTAAATTTTACTTTATTACTGCAGAGACTTGGTGAGGCAGAGAATGAGTGTGCAGACCGGTTTTTGTATGGATCGCATGGAAATTTTTTTAAAAAATATCAAATTTTTCAAAATTTTAGATATATCAAAAAATACTGAAAATTGTCTAAAAAGCGCTCAAAACAATTTCAATGTGAAATTTTTCAATTTTTTTTGGTTTTGTGCGCTATTTGGACAATTTCCAGCATTTTTTGATTTTTTGAAAATTTTTAAATTTCTCAAAATTCCACCACCTGATGCTTTGGAGAACCGGTCTCTCTGGGACTGTTACTGATGTTCTGTGTCCTTGACGAATGCGGTCAGTGCCTGACTTGGGCTCTGCACTGACCGGTCTCTGTATGACAGCTGTGACGTGCCGTCTCCGAGAAGCCCAGGTGCGGCTGACAACACGTGAGGCAGATACGGACCTGCACAGACCGGTTGGTGCAGATAGCGACGCAGGCAGCAACTTGGTGATATAGAGG